GTCAGAAAAACTGCCTGAAATTCTACAAAACTACTGCCAGTCAGTTTTGACAACACTGGGTTAAACAACCAGGGCCACTGCAGGACTGAAGCAAGACCCTGGCCTGGACATACTGCACTCCTGAAAGTGGTGAGGAGGTCTTGAGGATGTTGGGAAAATAGATTGCTTGCCACTCTGCACTCCTCCTCCACCTTTCCAGTAATCTCCATGGGACTCAGGCTGACCACATCACTGCAGATTGGACTCCACTGGCCCTTGGCAATCCAGCAGTCCCCCAGGGCATATAAACATATCCATGCTGGGTGGCCAGCCACCATGAGTAGGCTGCTCTGGTAAGGGATGGTATTAAAGGGGGTCTGTTACTTTGGGATGCCACAAGGGTGAAGTTGCCCTGAACTGACCCTCACTCGCTCCCGAGGTTGTATTTGCTGAGTGGGCATATATAACAGGACATGCCTGAGAGAAAACATATGCACCCATGCTGCCTGTGCCATGTTGTAGCCCTCCCTGCATCCACAGGTTTAATCGTTACCTTATCAACCTGCCCTAGGTCTCCAGACAGTGTTTTTAAGTGCCAGACTGATACAGAATAAGACCACCCTCATCCTCAATCTAAGTTTGGACGAGGCAACCAATCTGAGACTTGGGTAGATGAACAAAGAGGAGCTAGTCGTACCAGATGGGCAATGACCTGACTCAGTACAAGGCAGCTACCTTTGCTCCAAAGCTATTTATGAAGCTCCCAGCAGGTCTTTATTACCAAAGTGGTCAAATATGAAGTGACAAGTAATAGAGGGGCAGTACCTCAATAATGGATCTCAGTAGTTTTGTCCCAGGTTCAAGTTCTCAGCATCTCAAATATGAAACATCTCAGGGAGCAGGTGATGGAAAAGACTGGAGAGTCACTGCCAGTCACAGTATAAACAGCATAGGAATAGCTTTGTTAAGTTCATAAAAGAGATGAAATACACAGAGACCAGGAACAATTGCTATTTTAAGAACATACTTTATACAAAATAACAAATTCTTATGGAAATAAAATCTACAGATCTCCATGGATCAAAGTTTTTTGTTTGTTTTAAAAAGGATCCTTAAAAAAATTACCGAAACACACAATATTAAACTAACTATTGAGGTAACTGTCGCTCTCAGGGAATCAGTAGACCAAGACAAAATATACACAATATAAAAATAAATAGCATTCCCCTTTCCAGTATTGACCAGGAGAGTTCAAACCCAGCTCTTTGCAGCAGCAAAAGAGGTGAGAAAAAAGGATCCCTGACGCTGTGCTCCATGGGCAGGGAAAATGACCAGGGCTTCTCAGGAGCAGCAGAAAAGGCAGCCAAGTGAGGTACCTGAGCCCCAGCTGGGGAAAACAGAGGAACACACGGGGAAGAATTTGATCAGTCACTCTTGTATCCGGTGTTAATTCTCCAGACGATGGGCTCTCTTGATAGAAGCTTCCTGTATACAAAAGGGTCAGTCTGCTGTGGCATGGAAGATTCATGCTGGCTCCCTTTCAAAACTTGAGGAGTTCATTTATCCAGCCAAACATTGCTGTGCACAGCCCAGAGCATGTCAGATTCCTCCCAGAGTTTATCAGTAACGTATTTTCACAGCTTGATGGTGAGAAGACTCTTGCAGCAGCAGCTCACATTCCTGTTGATCAGAAGATGTTCGAGCTGTTTGACAGAGACCAGGATCCGACTTGCAAGGCCTCCAGACAGACAAACATCTACCCCAAATCAGCCTCCAGCCAGAGGAATGTTCTCTCTTCTCCTTATGCCCCACAAATAGGCAAATTACATTCTTTACAATCTTTATTACAATAATACAGCCCCTCCCAACCCACACCCCAAACAACCAAGAACACAGTATTTCAAAGATGACTGAGAATGGCAAAGAATTGTCAAAACTCAATCACTTGAATTTAAAAACCAGAGTATTCTCAGAAATTCTTAGACCATGGACAACTATATTCCCCAGCAACAGGCCTCCTTTTTTTGCACTCCACTAAGTGGAGCACAAAAAGCTGGGCAGTAGAAAAATGGTTATTTAAGCCACAGAGCAAAAACGCTTATCAAAACAAAACAAAAAATAGGAGCCAATAAAAGAAGCCAACTTCCTGACCTCTACAGCAATTCAAGTGCCAGTTGCCAATCCCAATTTTAGGCACTAGTAGCTTCTGGATTTTTTGCACCTCTGCCATGCAGTCCTATGATATAGTTCTTACCTAAATTTCCTGTACACTATAGAACTGTGGGGGGAGGGGGCAGCAGATTCACTATCATGCTTTTATTGCTAAATAATTTTATCAAACTGTAGGGTGCACTGAACTTTTATGAAAGAGCAAAGCACCAGCTTGTGCAGGTCCCCAGAACACATGGACTGTAATTAATTCTAACTTGCATTTATATCTGTTTGAAGGAGAAGTCAGAGTGTCACATTTGGAAGCCCATGTTTAGTTTCAGGGAAGTTGATTGCTGAGAGGTGATTCTACATGTGGTAGTGACACCTTGTGGTCTTGTTAAAAGCATGCTAAATTCAGAGGACTGTTCATATTTATGGCAGCACTGAACACCTAAAGGTGAGAGGAATTCTCCTTGAGGGTCTTCATAAATGGGATACAACAGAACTTGCATATTTCTGACCACAGAACACATGCAGCAATTTGGCAGCCTTTGATAATTCTCTGATGAACATCTGATTTGGTGCCAGTGCTAAACAAGAACTTAGTAGTGATAGTTACACAGGTTGACAATACAAAGTATTCCTGCAGAACCTTGCCAGAAGACACAGGATGCTGAAACACTAGGACCTGCCAAGTGCATCTAGCTCCTCAGCCATGAGAGCCAATATGCCCACTGTGCTCTTACTCATCAGCATCTGAATCTGTGTCAACACACATTCATGTCACAGTAAAGCACATTTTTGACATATAATTTATCAGTAGGAACGCCTTTTGTTTCTCCGTTGCCAGTGAGCATTTTCTTTCTCTGGCCCAAACATTCATCAGCAGGATCTAAAATTGTGCCTGGCCTTGGTAGCTTGCCAAGATTTGCAGCAGCCTGCTTGCCAATGACCCTGATTCTCCCTCTGCTTGGGGAGGGGCACAGTGACCTCTAGCATGTCAGGCTTGGGAAAGATTCCAAAGTAGCAGAAAGTCCTGGTTGTTCAACAGTACTGCAAGGGTAAACCCCTGCTTTTCTTTCAAACTCTGAAGCAGGCCCTCAAAATTTTTGGACTTACAACTCCCAGCAGCAAAGGCTGAGGGATGATGGAAGTTGTGGGTGAAAGCTTGTAAGACTACAATTTACTCACTCTTGTTCTAGAGAAAGGTAGGTGACTTCAGTTGTGCAGTTGCACTCAACTTCCGAAGTGTGCCTTGTTACTGCTTCTGCAGTCTATCAAAAGGCAGGAAAAAGCATACCTCCCACCTTGCAGGCATCCATATGCTTGCCATTGGTGAATACAATTGTGCAGCCCGGCTCACCACCAACCCCCCAAACCAAACTGGGTTCTGATTTGAAATTTCATTTCTTATACAACTGCTAAAGGCAGGTTGCTTACCTGTAACTGCCATTATTTCCACATTTCCAACAGGACTAATTTAGAAGTAAATAAGAAAAGGGAACATCTTTGTTTCTATTGCTACTTGTTTTTCAGAGCATGGACCATTCTGACATCTCCAAGTCTCTTCCACACCTGTTACCTCCTCATTTCACCACTGGAAACTCATTTCATTTCTATACCACCCAACAGCCAAAGGCTCTCTTAGGCATGAATACAGGAAAAAGCTATTCTAGAATCTCTTCTCAAGGAAGAGAGTGTCAAAGTAGTGAATAAAAGGATTTTATTTAGGAAATATTGAATATGGTAATAAATGTTCAATGCAGCTGTTTCATCCATTGCTTAAATGACTGAAGTAGGAGTGGAGTGGGACTTCTTACCTTTTGTATAAGGCTCACAGTTAAAGCTTTAAGAATGCTACAGTAAGGAATAATTTAACTAAAACTAGGAGGTGCCAGGAGGTAGGGCCTGGGAATTTCACTAATGGATTCCCTATCTTTTCTCATCCACTTTAAAGCACTGGTGTCAAGCTTCTCAAAATAATGTCCTGTAGCAACTTGCTATTGTCCAGAGGTGACTCTGATTCACCAGTGATTTGCTACTTATCCATCCTCTCACCAGTTCCTTTTAGATTATTAGGTAATATTATTTCAGGATAAATGTCTGGCTGCTGGGAGGGGATAGAAAAATAGCTGTATCCTACACAAAGTAAACTCTCTGAATCTATTATCACAGAGGGATTTCAGTTTCTCTGTCAACCTGAGTGGTATTCTGAAACATGGGATGCAAACATTTCCTTTCACTGACTAAAAAATCCAATGTTGCTGGGAAAAAAGTTTAGTTCCCTCACACAAACATTCTAACGACTTTTCTCAGTTTCTGAAGACAAGATCCTGCACCCCATTTAGGCTTCAAGACAGAGGAGAATTTCACTAAGTAGCATGTACTGTGACATGGAAGAAAAAGCAGAAGACTCTAGTAAAACAGAGTTTTACTAACTCATACATAAAGGCTACATTGGAATGCTACTGAAGTACTGCACACCTTCAGAAAGCTTACTAAACTGTCATTCTTTAAAAGCAGGCAAATCCTAATTTTATCAGTTAGCACCACTTCCTAATCAAAGGAAACTGCCTTATCCCTGTTGTATTTCAATAAACCTGCTTCAAATCTAAAATTTAGAGGCCCAATAAACAATCACTTTTTGACACTATTCAAACTATGGATGTACCACTGATGTTTCCTATACCATTCTCATTAAGAACATTATTATTATTATTGAGAATAACTTACTAATAGGATAAAAATATACAATTAAATGTACTTAATACCTGCTAACAGTAGCTATTACTATTAGGTAATAGTAGATATTACGATCAGCTAATAGTAAGTAGTAATTAATACCTGTCACTTGGAGCTTCTTTAGCTCCTAAATGGTTATTTTATTTCTGAGAGGGGAATACACAATGCTTTAGTAACATTTTTGTGATGATTGCCCACAATTTTTTTATTTATTTCTGGAAGTACTACTTTGGGTAAATGGCATAAAAAGAAAGGAAATATATGCACATTTCTTCCAATGGTTAGAAGTATACAGGGTGTTACGTGCTAGCGTTTTTATTTTCTAAGTGTTCTTTCTCCATGGAAGGTAGGAATCCTGCAGTGTTGGAATGCACTGTACCCCATCTATATGTTAAACAGATACAGATGGATAGGAGTGAGAAGGTTTTGCTTGAAACGGCTCCTTCATTACAATAAGCACAAGCTTTGAAGCCCATTATCAGACAATCTGCAGCTGTGCTACTCCTCTCTCTTAGCCATGCAAAAGGCTCACATATGTACTATTCAACCACTACTGTCAAAAGCATAACAGCAAAAACTGGAAAACAGGAAAAGCTTTCCATACAATTTTAGAAGAAATACAATCAATAACTAGTTGCAATGCCTCCCTCGGAGCAATAAACAACCACATGTTTACAGAGACTAGAGATTACTCTATGAATCCAATGGGCCACGCCTATGTCAGTGATGTTAAGCCCACCTTAACAAGCTTATTGTGTCATAAGCATTCACAGATAACAACATGCACAGAACAACACAGTTGCTGATAAGGTTGGTGTGTTGCTTTCAAGGTACTTCCCACTACTAGTTAGCCTGGAAAGTGCCACAGCATTCACTGGTTTTAATTTCACAGAGTAAAATGGCTATGCACCTAGAATTTATTCCAAAAGTAAAAGCACATACTGTACAATGAGTAATGATTTCTCCTGGATGGGTTATGGAGTTATCAGGCACTCCATCAGAAGAGATGAAAAAGAAGAGCAGAACCATGCAAACCCTCAAGTAATATTTAGCAATAGCTACAGATAGGACCTCTTTGGATCTTACACCAAATTGTTATGATAACTGCCAGTGAGCTTATTCAGAAAGGTGATTCATCTGGACTAAAATTCTTAGCAACAGAAATTAATGTTGGAGAAGCAGATGAGATAAAAAATATTGTTCAAAATCTAAAAACTATTTTTAAAAAATTCAGGGACTAAGGAGTTAATACCTGCCTCCTTCAATATATTCCTAAAAAGCATTTCTGTCTAAAGCAGATTTGATCTATGCACTGCACAGGGATGCTAACCTGTCTTAAATGAATTAAGTGAGCTGGACAAGCTATGAGGAGATGCGGGCTTGTTTACTGACTTTTTGGCTTTGGGTTGATATAATGATGAGACTGAAAGCAGGCATTTGGCCCATACTCTCTTTTCCTTGCATGTATAAAAACCTTTTCCTGCTACAGGTGGAACTCAACACAGGAATCAAATAAACATGAAATCTTCCCTTTTCAACAACAGACTTGTACTGGGCGTAAGGGAGCACTTGTCTTAAGGCCTATTTCTAACCTCACTGCAGGCACAATCCAAGTAAACAAATGGACAGAGCTATGGCATCCATCAGCAGAAAACAGTAGTGTCTAAGGAATGTGTTTGTGTCCTAATGAATTTGCATCCAGACCTGATGAGAACCACAGGTTCACAAAACAGAACACCACATTGCTTCACGCTATGTCAGAGCGCTTTGTTTCTTCCTATCATGATCATTTTTATAGTTAAAAATTAATCTCCTGTATGCCAGAATTAACAAGTGACTACAGTGTCACAGAGTCTGTGTAAGAACCTTTTATGTAGCTTTGTAAAGGTCTGTAATGTCTCCAAGTGCTCTTCGCTGCCAGTCCTGGTAACACCATAAAGATCAGCCAACACATCGACATCCCCTGTAACAATGTCCCCCCCACACACACCTCAGCTCTGTCATCAGACAGCTTTCTTTATTTGGCAAGCTCTTCATATAGTCAAAATAGTTGTTTTTGAAGTCCCAAACATGCAATACTTCCAACTCAGGGAAGGTTTAAACTTGTGTTCGCTACGTCTTATGATATTCCCAGTTGTAAAACAGCTATTCCGATTACCAAGTTTTCTCTCTCTTAGCTCACACACTTCAGTGCTTGCATATAGGATCAAAAGTTATCCAGAAAGCATGTCTGCATCCTACAATAACAGATGGCTGAAATTTAAGGGGAGGAACTCTATTTCAGTATTCTTTTCATGGGAGTATAAGCCAAGTTACAGTGAGACCAAATAGCTCAATATGCATTTCGTCTGCCCTGTCCTAAAGTCACAGCAGTTTCACTAATGATACCTGTAAGGATTTCTTCTATCCCAGCACCATATGAACCAAGGTTTTGAGGTTTACTGACATAAGGATGATTCCCAGTCAGAAACTATCAGGCTGCTACAGTCTCACACAAAATTCCCAATTTCCTGGAAATTCCAGTTCCTGATTTCCTTGTTCCTACAGGAGGAAGGAACAGGCAAGGCAGTGCATACAATCCATGATTAGGAGAGAGGAACACTGAGATTTTGACTGAGCAGTCCCTGTAACCAGTTACCAGGCTCAGACTATTCAGACCAAATCTACTGACAGCTGATGTCAATAAAAAAATAAATCACACAAAGTCCCACTATTTCCCATATCTACACTCTCCTGAAGGATTTCAGTGTGACATGATTGTAAACAGTTTATGATCAGCCCAGTGCTATGCCCACAACATTTTGGGCCTACCACTCCCAGCCTAATAATGTACAATACATTCACCAACAGAAATATTTTTTAAAAGGCAACAGGTTAAAAAAAATATGTAAACTGGATTCTGTTCCAAACACAAATATTAATACAAGTATTTTTCATTTTCTCCTATCTTTCACCCTGAAAAATATACCTGAGTTTTAGCAGTTCATGAAAATTTAACGTCCCTCAAACAGAGCCCCTTTAAGTTCTGAAGGAAATCAAAATCTCTGGTCAGAAACAAGCTTTCTAGTTTGAGATGCTCCCTCTGTGTCATTGTGGCAGCCCTGTGGCTGACTCAGGCCCAGGGCAATTCCATGTTAACTGAAAGCTGCCAAGGCACTCTGATCCACCAGACCTTGGAAGCCAGATGCTGCTGGGAAAGAAGATGAGGGTAGAAAGCATGTTCCCCTTTGCCCTTATCCAGTCACATGTAGGTGTCATCTTCTCTGAATTTTAGATTCTAAGAATCCTCTATTCTTAGACTAACTCTGGAAAAGAACAAAAATTGGATTGTCACTTTTGTGCTCTTAACAACAAATGCAGAAACATATATTTGTGCTGCAGTCCTATGTTCCTAAGCCCACTGAATTGTATGGGCCTTGCTTCTGAGTAGACATTATACTGGTTTGGTACTGTTCATGTATCCCCTATGCTAGCCCTTATATGATGCAATATCAAGCTATCCTAACAAAACTGCCTTTTACACCCACGGAGAACAAAGATCTTGAGCAACTTCATTAGCACTGGAAATAAATTATTTCTCATTGTCCCAGAAGGGATAACCAGAGAGACACTAGGTGGGTTCACAGATTTGGGCTAACAAGAGTGGAGGGCTGCTACAAGTGGTAGTAACATACCATGTTTTTCTTAACAGATGATCACAAACCTGGTTCTGTGATTTTCTGCCCACTCTACCCCATCTCCTGTGAGTTCCAACAACTTTGTCATGCAACCCAACAGTCGCTGTGAGCTAAATCTTCTTTGTTGTTGTTCCCTATCTATCTCAGCTGCTTCTCCCTGATTGGTCTACAGAGGTTTGGAGCTGGTTACTACTCCTTCCCCTCCTCATTGTACCTAGCTTTTTAACACACCTTATGGCTATGAGGTACAGAATACAAGTGTGATAGATAAATACTTTCTAGCCAATGTAATCCCCACAGGTGTTTAAATTAAAACATTTTTGCTGTGATCCCCTTCTCTATCTCTGCATTTATCTACTTTCCCCAATTCTGAAAGTAATCAGAGAAATGGGAATATCAAGCCATGTATAATAGTGAATGGATGCCTAGAGTGGCTCTTTTTGTTGCTCCTCTTTTCATGGGACTCAAAGGTGTTTCTTCACTGCAAACAGCAAAATGGTGCCCAGACTATCATGGTAAGCAAAAACCATGCGACAGATCATGGTTTTTGTCATGTTTTTCAAGACCCAAACAAGCCATACCGATATACCATGACTAGGTCTGGACAACATCAGACCACAATGGTAAAAAACTATTATTGCTTGTCACATCACGTCACATCATGTCATGTCAGTCAGTATCTATTTAATCAGAAGCAAGAACTATAGTGGTAATGTTGTTATGTGTTGAACTACATTTTTGCCTCAGGCACCAACTTAATCAGGTTGCTGTAGACAAGCCACAATCTCTCACTTCAGCCCCAGCTTCCCTCTGCATCCCTCAATTGGCAATAATGGTACTGTAACACTGGCCTGCCATATAGGGTTCTTGTATGGATTATGAAGAAGGGCTCTGAATAAGCCAAAGAACTAAATATGTGAGAGGTAGTTTGTTGTTAAATATAGTATGACTTGCTTATTAGCAAAAAACAAACAAACAAAAAAACCCCCTTAGCACATGCAAAGATACAGAGGATCTGAAAAGAATGGTTTACTATGGGCTCTATTCCTTCTCTTCTTGCATAAACTGTGACAAGATTTACACCTTTGACATTTAACAATAAGCAAAAGTTTCCCCACTGATTTTGTCCTTTATTGGCACTTACTTGATCTAGAGGCAATGCAGGTTGTTTCTGTGGTGGTGCCTCTTCCTGGGCTGGTGTTGCTGTAAGCACCTTCGGGTATGGGGCTTGCAGCTGGTGCATGTGCATCCTGGAACCACACAATCAGAAGGAAACATTAGCCACCACGTGCCCTGTCCTTTGCACACAGATTGCCCAAAGGCATACGTTCCTGAACTGAGAAAATCATTTGCTGCAGTGGGGCAAATGTCATGTTTGCAGAAAATTGTTGTTGTAAGGATAAAATAGAGTGGAGGCTACCTCACAAGAGGACAAAAGGCTGAATATAAATGCAATGTAAGAATAGTAATACATAATAAACCAGCAGAAACATCCTCTCTGAACATGAAAGGTTATATGAGAGACCCTTTCAGCAAGATAATGGTCTGTGCTGTTCATAATTGCTCGCAGTTCTTTGGAGTCTTATCTTAAAACAGTAAGCACAATTCACCACTTTTCCCACCTCCCTGTTCCATGGAGAGCACTCTTACCCTGCTGTCCTGTACATATCTGGGGACAGTCCTCCCATGCCACCTCCACGTCCTGTCTGTTCCATCATTAAGGCCTGAAAGTGCCCCACACTCTCTTCCTGGCACCGGTACAGAGGTCCTTCATGAGTAAGCCCATTGGCTTGATTAGCGTCTGGATGATGCGACAAGTGAGCATTCACCGGTGGCCCATAAGCTCTGGTCTGGAAGTGACTGGCTGGATGCCGTGATGCATAAGGTGACCCTGCCTGCAGCATGACACCATGTGGTGGAAAAGCAGATGGACTAAATCCAAGCCCAGAAGAACTCAAAGGTGGTGGGGGAGAGCCATACAGGTACTCTCCTGCTGCAACTGATCGCTGCCTCTTGGTGGCTGCATTATGGTTGTCCAAATCAAGAAACTCTTTGGGACTCTCAGATCTCTCTTGGGACTCATCAGGTTTCTCAGCCTCTGGTGACAATTCTTGCCCACTGCTTGAAACCTCTTTGGTGCTTGCCATGTCCACTAGATTAGGGGAAGTCAGAGCAGCACTAAGCACCTCACAGCCCTGCATGCCACTTCCCATGGTTCCTCTGTCTGAAAAAGGAGGTCTGGTCAGAGGTGACTGGGCAGATGGATGCCCCGTAGGACTGGACTGAGGTGGGAAAGGCCTCTGCCAATCTGAGTAACCCTGTGGGCAAGTATAGTAAGGAGGCTGCTGGTAGTGGTGATAAGAAGGGGCAGGCTGAGGCTGGTAAGGATATGGCACTCCCTGGTGAGGACGGTAACGAGGGAAAACACCATGGGGATTATTAGGTTGAAAGCCCCGAACAGAAAAATGCTGGGAGTGGGACACTGGAGGGGGCTTCCCTCCCATCATAGGACTGAATCCTTGCAATCCTGGATTAATGTGGTATCGTGTGGCTGAATTTGGATACTCCAAGTTGGGCATGTAGAGAGGAGCAAACTGACCAGAGGTGCCTCCCACTGGACTGCCATCCACACCAGCAGGAGCACTGGCACTCTGTCCCATGCAAGGCACAGTAGTTTCCAAAAGATTTTTCCCCCCAGTACACTGGGGCTTCTCCATTATATTAGCAGCCACTGATTTCCCCTCTGAACCACTGGATGGCCTTTCACCATTTTCAGGCACAGGTCCTCTTTCTGTTGTTGCAATGTCCCTCACACACCCCTGGGCTACTGGACTTGTATAGTTACTCTCCACTGGCCATGTGTTCTTGCTCTGGGTTGCTTTAGAATCATTTTTAATTCCAGAGTCATCTCCCTCCCCTTCCTGTGTCAAGTTCTGCCTGGAACAATCCATTTGCAAGGGAGGCTTGGAATGAGGTAGCAGCTTGGGGTATGTCCCTTCTAGGAGGCCAACACACTGGGTTTTCTGTTCCACTCCTGTTGGAGGCTCTGCTGCACAAAGAGAAACAAAGACAAATCAAAGGGCATTTCTTCCATATAACCTAACAACCTAAACAATTAACTGTAATTCTAAGGCTGTATATTTTTCCCTCCAGTACCTCAAGGCTTCTCCATTATATTGCTTGAGATGAGAGTTTAGGATAGGAGCATGTCTGTTTCATATATGATGCTATTCTGTGGTAAACAGGCTGTGTTGGAGACGTGAATGCACGCAACATAACATGCAAACAAAAACATACTGTACTTTATGCGAGTGTTATTCATCACTGTCTCTCTGTGCTAAGTATATAATGATTAGTTCTACATATTCTATAAGCTAGCTGTATGTGCAAAAATATGTTCTTGAAACTAGGGAAAGGGAGCTTGTTGCAGGTGGCCTGATTCACTCTTGGAAAGGAAAAACTCTTGTCTCCTAAGGGTACCTCTGTGAAAGCACAGAAGTGAAGAGCCCTGAAGTGAGCTCAAAACCTGGAAGTGTTAAAGGAGCCTCTCTCTAAAGTTTAGGAGCAGAAGCCATGACTGTGCCTGAAGCTCTTGTTTATGTTCAACTGCATAGATGTTTCTTTAAAATAAGAAACTACAGGTAGAACGTTATACATAATAAGATCATAATGTGGCTGAGCACTATTATTTCTAATACTCTTTGAATCATCCTAATTGTACTGTGTGTAGAATATGTCTTGCTTGTTTTACTTTGCAAGGTCTTTCTACTATTTCTAGCACTATTTTACTTCTAATATTGTGTGCATACTAAATATATTTTGTGGTGCCACTTTGTATTGTCTAGATTGAGGGGTGCTTCAGGGATCACAGTGCATCAATTGTAAGAATTACTGAAGGCCAGAACACTCATCTGGGACTAAGTGCAGTATATCTATATGGCCACAGTTTTCTTTCTTGTACGGGTAAGACACAGATGTATGTGTTCAAGTATGAGAAATAAGTTAGTTTGATGAAGCAGGAATCGTTCATCAATTTCACAAGTATTAAGAGGGAGTACACAATTCTGCAGGCTGACTCCAGTTAATATTATGTTTGCAAAAAGTCAGAGCAAAACACCTATTTTCTCACAGACAGCTATAAATAGAGCAGAAACATACTAAACAAAATTTATCAGACTGACTATAAAATGAAAACTAAGCTAGACTGAGAAAGGCTGTAGTATTCTGCACACATGCTCCAGACATCAAAATGCTATGTGAATCATAATGCTCCTGTGCCATTTGATAGGGAGTATTTTCCTGTATATTTATCAAATCAGCCTTCTTGTATTCTGCTAACCTTCATGGTATTCTACAAAATCACAAACTGTGGACTAAGGCCACAGGAGGGATAACTATCACATTTATATTAAATATTAAATCAAGATTTATACATGGCAAAGCATCAAATCAGACAAGCCCCTAAGTACTACAGAAAATAAATGAGCTCAGCTGGTACCAAAGCAAAGCAATGATATTCTATTACCTCGGTTGTTCTCCATCTCTGTCGTCTGACTGGAGTCCTGAGAGTTTCCATTTCCTAAAACTGGTTTTGGAGGCTGAATGTTCGTAGATGCCACACGTGCCAGTTGTGGAAATGGTCCAGGTAAGTGTGGGGGAGGAGGCTGTCGTGGGTGATAAGGCACACCGGGTGGGCATACCCGAGAGGACAGCTGCTGCATGGCAATCATCTCTGGACTGTCCATCATGGAATCCCCACCCTGGGCTACTCTCTGCATTTGAGGGGGAGGCCCAAATAATGAGGCTGGTAGCTGTTGCTGCATTCTCTGGCCAGATCCTTTGCCTGCTTGTCGGATATATCCTGAGGGCGGAGCTCCATGAGGTAGGAAATTGGATTGTTCAGTCCATTGACCAGGTGGCAAAGGTGGTCTCAGTGCCCGAGGTTCCATCATGTGGCTCAAAGCACGTGGGGGCATAGGGGGGCATGGGCCCATTGGAGGTTTCTTGTCTACTCCCAGGGCCATCTGGTTTGCTGCGTCATGGCTTCCATTCCACACAGCAGGATGTGCACGGTTTAGGTATTTATAGCTTCTGTATATATGGCCAGGAGGAAGCTCTGAGGTCTCTGGTTGTCTCATAGGGGGTCCGTTGTGCCTTGGAGAAAGGAATCCTTGCTGGAACTGTACAGGGGAATACATACTGGCCTCTGAGGGTGGGACACTCATTCGACCAAGTTGCAGAGACCCAGGCTGAGGACCTATTGTGGAGAGATGCATTGGTCCTGTACACACCTGCTTGTCTGGAGCAGGAAGTCGATGTCCTCTGGGGTCATTTAATCCAACTGCAGGCTGAGGAAGGAAATGGAAAGTAATGACAGCCCCCTCAAAAAGCTCCCTTGTGCTGCATTTGTTTGGAAAAAGTCTTCTTTCAAAGCTAATGGGAAGCATTTTTCCAAGCCTAATTGCAGTATGTGTGAGTATACTAGGGATACATCTGCAGATGAAAGAATGAAACCTCTCCAGCTGTGACCCTTGTCCTCTTGACTGCGCAGAGAGGGACAATCACATGTGTGTATGCATGTATCTGTGAGGGGTGGTCCTGCTCAATTTAGCTTCAACTATGCTCACTTTTTGTGGGTGTCTATTGTTTCTCATATGCATCCTATGAAAGTTCCCTGAAACAGTCTACAGCCTGTAGGCCAAAAAAAGTTCCTGCACTGCAAATCTTCCTGATTTTGTTATCTGTTTCACTTACCTGTACAACAATCCCAATCCCTAAACCCATTTGTTGTCTTGTTCCTTGTTCAAATACAGAAACCCCCACAGAAGGAGCAACTGTAATAAAACCAGCTTGCAAATTGAGTCATAAACACAGAATTTCAGTTTCCTGACCACAGATTTACATGTAATTGGTATACACACAGGTGGAAGTGCAGTTTCTACTACATGTCTTACCTGCATGGCAAAGTGCTGGTGCTGTTGACCTGGCTCACTAGGGTGTGGTTCTGGTACTCGAGGTGACCCATATGGTTTTGCTGGATCAGCCCCATGTAGAGAGCTAAATGTTCCTGGCATTGCTGTTCTCTGAATGAGAAAACAAAAGTCACAGGTGAGGTTTGGTCAGAAGTGGAGCTTTTTGAATCGCAATCTTCAGTCATTTCAGATAATGGAACTTACCCTTAACTTCAAACTATAACAATAATAGAGTTATTAAGAATTCAGTCGCTCTACTCCTCCTTTTCTTCTTCATACTCTTATTAAAAACAGTTATCCCTTAGCAGTGTAGGAGTCAGGAGTGATCTAAAAGTTCTCCCATGGGCCACCTGATATAACTGCAGGAATCTCCAAACAGAAACACAAGCAATCATCAGTGGCGAAGGCTGGTTGCCTAGTGGATGGAATGTCAGACTGGAAGCAGTGAGACTCAGTTTCAAAGCTTCACTAAGCCAGAAACCCCACTAAGTGATGCTGAGCCAGTCACACATTCAGCATGACATACCTTACAGGTTTGTTGAGAGGAGAAAATTTGGGACAGGGGACTATATATACTACCCTGATTATGGGTAGGATAAAAGTGTAATAAATTAAACAATTAAACATTTTCTTTAAAGTTTGGCATTGTTTAACTATTTTTATAATTAGTTTAAACATTAAACCCCTTATTATTCTTAAGACAGTAACACACTATAAATTCTTGGCCATTATTTGACCACTTGATTGACCAAATCTTGTTTGACCAGTCAAGGCCATGGAAGATCAATGCACAAGAAAAGCTGATGAACCTTCAAGTCGGCAGAACCAAATATACCTGTGCCTGAAAGAACATCACTTTCCATGCCCTGCCTGACCTCTCTGTTCTTGTGGAAGATAAATCTAATAGAGAAATCATGTTACTATGTCTGATTCTCAATAGATAAATGACTTCAGAAGCAAAAAGATGCAGCACTCTAAGCACCTTAGGCTCAAATGAGACAATAAGAATGGTATTTTCCCTGCTTACCTCCTTCTGCCCATCTAAGATTTTAAATCCCATTTTCCCCTAACAATAGGCTATACACAGACTTGTTGTGGGGCAGCTTTGCTGCAAGACTAGAAAATCTAAAATCAAATTCATATGTAAAATATAGCTATCAAAGGTATGAAGTTCCATAATTTCCATTTTAGAACAGTTATTCAAAAATAGAATTTGACTGGATGTGAAAGGCACAGATATGTGTAAGACCCACTTTAATAATAAACATGCTTAAAGGGGCTCCTTTGAAGGGGCTTTCCCCTTCCTTATGAACTTTACTTCTTTTTTCCTATTATTAAGGATGACCATAGCGAGTGCGGTATGGCCTCAACACAAGTCAAATCAACTTTTCCTTGCAGTTATGCTGCTCATACCAAGGGGCTGTGACTGATCATCACATCTGAGATTGGGTAAGGTTTTTCTGAAACCCTGCCAAAAGATTTTTCTTTCTCTCTGGTTGGCCCACTGGGCTACTACTCACCATCTGCCCAGGATGGGATACATGGTTGGGTGCGCCACTGTAGTGGTGTGAGCGCAGGAACCCTTGCCCATTAGAAGAGGCTACTTCTCCAGAGGGCTGAATTAAGCTGCTACTTGGATCCTCTACAGAAAAGGAGAAGGAAGATGAGGAAGAAGTGGGAACTCGATGTTTTGCCTTGTGTGGTGGAAGTTTTCCTCCATTTTGTACGTGTGGCTGCTTTCTACCAGATCCTTCAGAATCTCTGGATCTGGTCCAAACATTTCCTGCAGTAGAACGTATAGCCCGACGACTTCTTTTCTCCCGCTTCCCATCCTCTCTGATCCAGAATTCATCATCTGTGTCTCCCTCTTCTCCAGGGAAGTGCTTCATCATTGCCCGGTGGAAGCATCTCTCTAAGTTATAAGCCATTTTAGTGTATTCTGCAAACAAATCAAAGAAACTGAGTTTCATAGGTAGAAGTTTTCTGAAGACTTAACGTATTTTTCACTCTATAAGACGCACCTGACCATAAGATGCACCTAGTTTTTAGAGGAGGGATTCATGGAAAGCTTCCTGTTAATCACAGGCACATTCCCCATCACTTTCCCATGGGCTTCATTAAAAGACGGGTTGCCATTTGAAAACACACACCGACCTGTGATTAACAGTTCTCACGTGCGCTGGAGGAGGGGGGCAGAGCAGGGCGCGCCGAGCACGTGCCGGCCAGGTGTGGGGCAGCCAGGCCGGCAGCGTGCCGGCGGTGGTCTTCTAGGTGGTGGGGTGGCAGGTCTTCCCGGGCAGTGGGGGTGAGCAGTCCGTCTTGCTGTGCGACTGGCGGGTTAAAGCCCACGGCTCCTCCTCCTCCTCACCACTCCCCCTGAGCAGCACAGCTCTCACCTGTGCCGGGGGGGGTGGGGGGCGGAGCAGGGTGCGCCAAGCGCGTGCCAGCCAGGTGGTGCCATGTGGTGCAGGCGGGCTGGCAGTGTCCCGGGCATCGGGCACACACACATTTGCTCTATAAGACGCACAGACATTTCCCCTTATTTTTGAGGGGGCAAAAGTGCGTCTTATAGAGCGAAAAATACGGTACATTTCTCTTTTGATTAGATCTACACCTGAAATCTGGGCTATTCCCCATCTGTGCTTCACAAAGTTCATTTTAAGCAAGAAAGAAAATGCAAGCAGAAAGCTGGAAAACAGAAGACCTTAAGTCCTAGGGTTTTCAACACATCACTTCACTTCAGTTCTTTATTTTAAAGAATTTTAAACCCATATGGGTTCAAACCATAAACCCTGTGATGTGTAAACAGATAATGTACATATAGCAAAATTGCACTATACCTCCAATTTACAGTGTTCTCGGTGCTGTTCATGTGCTTTTAGCTCTAACAGGGGCAAGGTTCTGCACCAACTAACAGAGGTGGAGTTGCTAAGAAAAGTCCCTGCTTGCAGCTCTAGTCTAAGGTATCTTAAGTTGAAATAAAGCAACACAGAGCCAATATTGGAAAGTGTTCGGAATGAAGAATTATGGACATTTTTTTCTTCTTGTATTTCAGTTCCAATCCAGCTATGATAGGCTGGAAAAGACTTGAACTGTTTCACAACTACATGCATTCATAAGCTAGAGCCCGTATTTCCAAACACGTACCACTATTTTCACCATTGTATTTAAGGCAGTTCCTGAACATGGTCTTCATGTCACCCACAAATTCCTCCTTGGTGTAGTATTGGCCACCATTCAGTTTCTTCTCCATGCTTGAGATATCCATCGGAGCCTGAAAAATACCACTGAAAATGTATTCATTATATTTACTTATTATATTTATAGCCCACCTTTTTCCTGCAAGGAACCTGCGACAGCTTACATAATCTTCCTCTCCATTTTATTGTCACAACGACCATATGAAATAAGATGAGGCTGATAGCAACAGGTCCAAGGTCACCCAGTGATGCCAAGTGGGGATGAGAACCCAGGTCTCCTGAGTTCCAGATGAGTACTCTAACCACTATACCACACTTGCTATTTGTTTCAAGCTAAGTAACAGACCTTGAGAGTTATACTAATTCTTACATAGAAGTCTTTTCATTTCCTCTGATGAGCAAGGCACATTTCATGTCATCATCTATAACCCTCTGATTTATATGCAAATACAACAGACAATACATGTTACATACCTTAATGATCTGGTGGTAATTTGGGGCATAAGATTCATCAACTGGCTCCAAGAATGGCCAGGAATCCTTGTGAGCTTTCACCACATCTAGAACTGTCAGTAGCAAAAATATGGTCAGCTGTTGCACATAATAATGGAATACTATTACCTCAAAAACAAACTTGCAAAGTTAAGACCTGGAGTGCAGACTGACCTTTGTACATGGCAGTGAACTCATCATCCAATTCAAAGCTGAAGAAAAGAAATTCACAAATGAGTGCAAAGTCTCTTTAGCATTCTTTCAACTCTGGCTTGTATACATAATGCTTAACACTGAACAGTCAACTTCAACTGAAATCACTTCCAAGTCTTGCTCCCACCCACTCGTTTTTTCATCCCACTTCATTCCTCCATAGCTTTCCTTCTCATCAGGAACAACCAATTGTTTTCTGTGTACATTAATGACTTTTCTGTATTTACAGACAACTCAGTGCAGCATACTTACAGGTCCTTGGTCTTTCTGTCATCCCTAGCAGGTGAACTGGGATCCAAATGAGAAAGCTCAGGAGGAAGTTCTTTCCCCTGGGCCAGCAGCCAGGCCCTCTCTTCTCGGAGCTTCCTTCTCTTGGCTCGTTCTACAGATGGGAAAAGTAGCCATTGCGTTCCTGAGAGACTTCCCTGCAAATCTACCAAGTAGTTGCTCACTTGCAGCTTTCATGAGGGCATATGTACTCCTGGGTATCAGTACCAGAATGTTCTCATCTTTTCAAAAGAGCCAGGGGCAAAGTTACTGGGGAACCAGAGCAGGAGAGTACTATTACACTCCTGTCCTTCTTGGGATCACCCATAGGCAACTGCTTAGCTGCAAGGTAAACAGAACTCTGGATTAGGCAGACCCATGACCTGAGCCTGCATGGCTTTTCTTACATAAGGGGACTCCAGTAGAATCTTGTACCCTTGCAGCAAAGCTACTACTTGCCTCTGCCTGTAATATCTTGCTTAGCAGAGTACATCAGATGGATCCAATCATCATAAAGAGGCCAGCAGTTTACTGTGTCCACTCCTGACCAGGTAAGTAGCATGAAGATGCTAGAAGGGAGATCTCCATTGTATCAGAAAGAACCAGTCAGCTTGCTCATGTGGTTGTGGACAATCATAACACAGCCACAATGCAGTGGGATAGTATCTCAAGGAAGTGGTCTCTGTGCAGCTAGGTGAGCATGTACAGGGAACTCATTTGCTCTCTAAATGCATGAAGATGCTAGAAGGGAGATCTCCATTGTATCAGAAAGAACCAGTCAGCTTGCTCATGTGGTTGTGGACAATCATAACACAGCCACAATGCAGTGGGATAGTATCTCAAGGAAGTGGTCTCTGTGCAGCTAGGTGAGCATGTACAGGGAACTCATTTGCTCTCTAAATGGGAAACATTGCTATCAGATGGCATCAACTACAGGATGAATCCCACCAGGGATGCTGCTTGGTAGTACCCAAATTATTTCACATATTTGCATACACTAACTTACAATATACATATACAAATTTAGAGCGAACATACTTTAAATGTTATAATGCTTAAAATGGAGAGGAGGCAGATTCCCAGACAAGCCCATTTTAAGTGCAGGCAAAAGCAAGACCTTTCTAGTCTTCTCCTATTTCCCTCTCGTATGTCTTGCTCCATCCTATTCCAGCCCAACCCCAACAAAAGGCAATGGCCCCTTCTATCAGCCTCTTCTGCTACAAAAGCTAGCTCTTCTCAAGTCTGGCTTTGTGCTCCCCACTGTAGCCTCTGCCATCGAAGTACAGTAGTAGTGAATGAAATTAGGAATGAAGCTCGCCTCCAAGGTATCCAGGGTCATGGAAAACAGACCTGGAAGTGTGGTGACTGGCCAAGGCCTAGCAATAGTCATGAATTCCAGTCAACTGTGAGGAAGTAATTTTGTGTGACACTTCTGAGACAACAGTGGTCCCTACAGTATAGAGGCTAGCTATCCGTGTAACGGCAGGCTGGAGTATGAGAAAAAACAATAACGAAATGGATTTTAACACACAAATCTTTTGCTATTTCTTTATAATGGCCAGCTGGGATAAGAGATTATCATGTGATGAAGTCTGGTGCATTTTTTCAAAGGTAAATATAATAAAAACTATATAAATGACAATCTATATATGGCTATTATTTAGAGATCAGTACCCAAACAGAGTGAAATGTTGAAGAGATATTTGTAATGTCTATAAAAATAAACTATAGACAAGAAGCAACTGGTTACTTTCTCTTCCCCAACCCCAAATTTCAGAATGGATCTTGTGCCTGTTTCCCATCCAGGAAACTCCATCTTTTTAACCCTCCTTTCTATTCTCACTCCTTCAGCAACAGTGGTTGGAAGGGCATCTCCCCACACTCATGGGAAAAGGTTTTCAAAATGTTCAAGCTTCCGTTTCAAAAAAAAAAGGGCATTCCATTTCACATAGGTGATCTACATGCCTTCCACTGCCTTGACTTTCTCCTCCATTTCTCGTTTCCTCTCCTCCTTCAGCATTTGTTCCTGCTCTTTTTTCTGAACTGCCAGAAGGACCTGACGTTCCTCCTCCTCTTCCCGCCGTCTCTGCTTCTCCATTCTGCTGAGCACCATTGGAGTAACCTGTAGAAAGGGATAATTCTATCTGCTTATTTATTACTTTTATGTCTGATCTTTCCTCCAAGGAACTCATGGCAGCATATGCAACCTCTTTCAGTAGATTAGGCTGAAATATAGTGATTTGGCCAAGATTATCAAGTGTGCTCCATGGAAACTTGAATCCAGTCCTAAGTCTGACCCCCTAGCCAATACAACATACTGGTTCTCCACCTCAGACTGCATTAATATCATCACAGAATGGCCTCTCCCTTTAATTCTTCCATTGGTCTTATAAATGTACTTTCCTATGACAAAATCAAGCTAATTACCAAAACAAAAATATTGTTGTCAGTTTTCAGAAGCTCATATCCAGTGTTGACAGGTTTCAGTGTGGTGGTGTCTGTCTGTCTCTGTCTCTCTCTCTCTCTCACACACACACACACACACACACACACACACACGGTCTATCAGCCATGCTTTAAAATGCAGAATCAGTTATAAATGCTCCTAAGCTCCTAAGAATGCAGAAAGAGGCTCAAGTAAAAAAATATTTAGTTCTAAAATACATTTGAAAATGTATAACAATATACACACACATGACCAAGGTTTCAAATTTATATTAAAATGTAACAAAATATAAATTAAAAATGGAAAAGAACACCATTCAGCATAGTTCATAACAATCGCATTTGGTGCTAGACCTTTGTAGCTTATTCATAATTCTGTATACTAATAGCAAATTCATTCTCTGAGTAAATATCCTTATAAAGCCAATGAGGCCTGCTGATAAAGTCAATGGATAAGACAATTTTTCAGCAGGCCTGGAGAAACCACAAGAGAGGTAGGTGTGTGTGCATGTATCATTAAGGATGGAAGAACCCCCTCCCTGAAAAAAAAAACAAAAATCACAGCTGAAAGAGGAATGAAGGAAGGTGGACTCAGTGGGCACAGAATGCTGAGTTGGCTCTTGTGTGGGAGGGACCACAGGGAATGAAAAACTCTGCACAGTGCTACAGTTTGTTGCAGATCCCAATTAAGTAATTTTTGGTCTCCATTCTTGGCATTTGCAGGGTACTTCAATGTATGTCAGGACAGAAAGAAATTCCCATTCAATTCAGTGGGACTTATTCCCTTGTAAATGTGTATGATATTGCCACCATAGCTTACAATATCTGAAAGACAGTCAATTTAACTAGCATTAACTGTTCCCAGATCCTTATTAAACCATTCTATCTTCGCTGGTTTCAACTCAGACATCAAATACCTAGCAAAAATATTTTAGTAATTATGAATACACAAGAATGGCTTTTTGTCCATTTTAAGACATTTTTATTAAAAAAGTAACTAAGATGATATTATAGGATTCAAAGATATCCAGTTGAAACATCTCACATAATATTGATTACCATTTGATTACCATATGCCAAAGCTTTAGTGCTTTCCTACAGTTCTATTATATGTGATAGAACATCTTTACCTGTTTCGCAGTGACAACATTTGCTGATAATTATGCTTTTGTAGAGTTTTCTTGATGTGAAATGCTGCTGAGAGACCATGATGAAACATTTTTCTCTATAGCTATGGAAAACTGGGATTATTTACTGAATTAAAATGCATTATAAACCTTTCTCCTGAAAGCCTGAAACATTACCTACTGTATCAAATTCTATTAATCAAATGTACTATCTATTTCATGAAAAACAGAATAAATTCAGCTAAATTACGGAGTTTGTTCTGCATAGTTCTGTGAAAAATATGCATATATATTGTTTCATAGTTTCATTAGACACACTGGGAATGGGAAAGTATTGAAAAACTAAAGGGTAGCAGGAGGGACTGAAACTTGTATTAAAAACAAAAACAAGAACAACCCCAGACAATAAAAAACCACAAGAAGAAAAAAAAAACCTTTGAGGTTTTCATCAAAACCATCAATGTTATAAACTTGGATTTCCCATGGTTTGCATTGTAGTTCTGGTCAATCAGGATAGAAATCCTCAGTCTTTGGCATCAAGGCTGACATACTTTTCTTTACAAAGGCAGTTATACTACCAGCCGTCTATAGACAGCCAATATTTGCATCATCAAGCAACATTTTTATCTTACTTGCATAGCTGTTTAGCAGAGATCCCTCCTTAATGTCAAGAGGAAAGAATACTCTTGTAACTCTGCAGCAGTGGTTCACAATTTGCATACCTCAAGGCCCTTATTGAAAACCCCTTTTCTCCACTTCTGCCCCACATTTCCCCCCACCCCCACTCTTCACCTTCTTCTCCAGAGATCCTCCTATAGATCTCTCTTCTCTGCCATTGCTAGCAGTATGGCAACAGTACATCTGAATCAGGATCACTGGGGTGTGTGCTGCTCCTGACTCATGAGCCAGCATTGAATATAATCCTCTGGGCTGAAGAAATCATGCTAGTTTATAGGTTACAAGCATATAGGTTATAAATGGTCTCTCTACCTTAGTTCTTGCTAATGTAATGTAGCACCACAGAATCATAGAATGAAATGCTTCTCTATACAACACATTCCCCATGTTTGGAAAAACACCATGCCAAGCAGATGACTACGATAGAACCCTTACATCTACTTTACTTCTGAATGAAAGTGGAGGCTCCCATGACTGATTGCTTTGTCAACATAGCCAACGAGATATGTAGAAGCAGCATTCAATCATGGAAGCCTCCACCTCCAGTCAGAAGAGGCACAACCCAGACAGGTTTGCCATTTCAGTGAGGACTTTGGGACCATGCACTTCCTGAGAATTAATTATAATCTGGAGCCTCTGCACTACCCTTCAGGCCTTGGCCCATTATTCATCCAGAGAAAAAGCCTGTGTCTTAGTTATTATTGCTTCATTTTTTTTCACACGCCTACAAATAGGACCTGAGGGGGCAGTGATAAATTGCAGGGAAGGGAGGGTAGCTTCCTAAGTGCTTTTCTATTTGTGTTGTTGCAGAAATACTATTTAGTTACTTCCTTCAGTAATGACCCCATTGAGAATTGTCTGACATCATCACCGATCCCTGCCTTGCCATCAGCAACAACCATGCATTAAGGAAGGTACCCCAGGCCCCTGTTAAGTCCTCTAGCAGCAGAACACTTCAGTTCAACAAGGGTTAAAACAATATATCACAAGAATTAGGCTGATTTACCACATGCCAGATCCTGGGAGAAAAGTCCAAACAGAGCAGAGAAGTGGATACAAACACCTGCTCCTCACATCAGAATAAAAAGCATCCTTTGAGTGTAGCATTACCCACCAGGGTGAACATGTGTATTTGAACTAACACTACTTCAGAACCCAATCACACATCCCAGGAGAATAATTTAAAAAGAATCAGAGCAATTATATGAAGAGACCTTTTAAGTTATTTAAGCCCATTTCATCTGACCACTTACAGGAGTGTCCTCCAAGAACTTATTCAGATACAACATTACCAAGAGTTAAGGCTGTGTAATGGTAAATATAGTGAAAGAAAATTGCCAAAAATACACAGTCTGTCCTAAATGGACTTTCTAGGGAATTATTTCCCTGGACTTTCACATTTTTGTAAACAAGTTTTGTTCTAAACTTTAGACTGTTATAGAACTGGTGTCAACAAATAAGAATTGAAAGGGCAGCTAGATTGGTGAAGGGGGGCTGTTTCTTTAAATTCCAAAAGAGTACACCTCAGCAACCTAAATAATTTCTTCAGGTTGTTACATGAGGAGTGAGGTACAGATTGCACTACATAGCTGCCTCCACCTTGCTAAAGGCAGATGGTTCAATACACTTATCTGGTAAATGCTGCCTTCTACAGAGTCAGATCACTTGTCTACCTAGGCCAGACTTTTCTGACTGGTTGCAGCTCTCAAGCATCTAGGCCAGACTTCTCTGATTGGCTGCAGAAGTCTTTCCCATCAGCTTCTACCTGATCCATTTTCCCAGATCTATGGCATTCCTTAATTCTTAGCCTTATCCATATAAATATATGCACAATTTGCTATAGTTTGCAGCTTGGCTCACTTTTGTGCCTTAGCAGAATTAAAATATAAAACACAATACACATATTTAAAATGCTACAGTAGAAAGCAAAACAATTAGCAGCACAAGAATCAGTAAAATAGCCATAAAATCTTGACCTATGTCTCTGAAATGCCTACTAACACTACTAATGAAAGCATGGTGCCTACCTGTAACTGTCTTTCTTCAAGTGATCTTGGCCCTCATCAAGTTGATTACTGTTTTAGGGAATCCCCATTTATTTCAAGTAAATCTCATATACCATTCAGCTTAACATTAAGCTCTGTGGAACCCCATGACAAGTCAAGTCCCAACCCAGTCAACCTCTCCAGGATTCCATGAGGTCAGAGAGAATCAACAGGGTCATACTTCCAATGCTCATTCTTGGCAAAAGTCAACCTATAGGGTCAACAAGGCTGTTCCTGTCTCCAAACTTTGCCCAGCAAAATAATGTGAGATTAAGACCTTTTTGCATAATCCCATTAGGTCTCTATTCCCAGATCAAATAATGTCTGTGTACATATAACTGCATTTGTAAATACTCATCTTATTATCCTTCTCCCTTTTTTGTTCCTTGCTACTAAAATATAATTTTACATGGACCTGTCTTTCCTTATATTACTCCACAAAACACCATGGAGACTGATGACATTAAAAAGGAAAGGAAAGCCACCAACCTTTTTGACTGTTCGTTAGTTTGGTTCAAACCAACAACATTTCAGGAACTGGTTAAATTCAACATGAATCTCCCTCCAGCCCCCATATGAATTACCACTTTTCTGAATAATGGAAAAATGCAACAAAAGTACTTTGTGTGCAGAACCTGACAATAACCATGAGGCAGTGTTTTGTGTGATATGGGTGGAAATGCTGTTGGGCCTGAAAAATGTGTTTTTGAGGGTTTGCTACAGCGCAAGCTACATGCCTGCAACTGAGGGCATGGTGGGTTATGCAGAGCAGGCACTGAAGACTTCTGATCTCTGCCTTCTGCTCTCATGTCTGATACAGCACTCCC